GGCTGCGAGTACACGCCGAAGTTGTCGCCGCAGTACAGGGTCATGTCGCCGGCCGAGGGCGGGTGCGGCGCGGCCGCGGCCAGGGGAGAGCGGGGCTGGTCTCGCCGCTCGGGCGATTGCATCCCTTTGGGGGCCACCTCGCGCCGCGAAGAGCGGTCCCGGCCGGGTCGGACAGGCGTGCGAGCGGAGCCCGGAGCGGGCCTTTATACCCGCGGCTCCCGGGCTGGGTTGGCCACGCCCCGTCCGGCCACGCCCACGCCACGCCCCTCCGCGCTGTCCCGGGCCGGGCGGAGAGAGCCGCGCGCCAGGTTTCAGGTGAAAGGCGTCACCGGCTTCCGAGTCTACCGGCTCTTAACCCCGTAACAAGTTTTAACGAATATGCAGACGAGAAGATAACTCACACTGCACAGTCGTTTTCTGAGAAGTAAGTCCGTTTGGGGCAGCTGCTCGGGCCACCCGCCTAGTACGGGCTAATCTTTCGCGATCCACTTACGGGATTCGTGTTTGGCTCTCAGCCAATGGGCTCCCGATCTTGATCTCAAACTACTAAGCAGATCCAGAGGTCTGCGGACAGGAAGGGCACCGCGGGGGGCGGGGAGTGGGAAGAATTAACGTGTCATGACCTCGTACCACCTCCCCCCGACGGGTGCAGTCATCGTGTACTGCAGGCATGTACTACCACCAATTCTGTTTAAAAATTTTAAAGAGAAAAAAATAAAAAAATTTCAAGCGTAACAGTGGTTAATGCATTGCGTATTGTTATCTTTAAATTAGTTACTCAGAGCTCAAGATAGAGGCATTTAATTGTCCAAACAATATTAGCACAAACCTTTCTTTTCAATGAACCGAGAGAAATTAGTGATATAACGATTTTAACTACTATCTTTGCTTTTCCTTTCCTTCTTTCCTCCTTTCCCCCATCCCAGCTGTTCTTTCCTTTTGAACAGTTTCTTCCCGTTTCACAATATGTATTGTACATTTTAGGTCTTATTTACTCTTTCAGCTTCTCACACTAGGGAGCCAATACGATGTTAACACACGTGAGTCTGGTTTATTTCACTTATGAGTATGGTCTCAAGTTGGTAGGTTGACGACCCTTCTGTGGAACGCAGTCCCGGGGACCCTCGGTGTGAGACCCTTTTTACTCCGGGTTTTCCTGATCAGAGCAACTGAAATCGGTGTTTCATTTCTTCCAGCCAATCTCTGTTCGTTCACTTGTCCTTTCCACCGGACGTGTTCGGGGTTTGGATGTGATTTTGTTATCTTTTCAAAGGTGAAAATTTTCAGACAATTTAGGTGAGTGATTTTGGAATTAGCATTTTAAAGCGGAAAGCTTAAAAGGTTGAGTTTAAAGTAATTTCAGCTGTGCAAAAAGAGAAAAGGTCTCTCCTAATTTTAGCACACGATTTCTCTCAATTTTCCAAGTTTGCAGATGGGGTTCCCTGCCTGGAAAAAAATTTAGTTGAATATGGCCACCCCACGTGCCATGCGATCATTATTTATTGGCTCACGACTATAGCAATAAGAAAAAATGGTCTTTTTTACACTTAGAAATATTCCTAAATGTGTTCTTAGTAAGTGACAGGTCTGAGGTCCTCGTTTAAGAGGTAACTTTCTCTTAGGAAGAGTGATATTTGGGGACCTACTGGTGTTTTTAAGAACTGAGTTATTTTTTCGGTTTTATTTGAAAAGAATAATCATGTTTTCATGTCTAGTTCTTCTCTGTATGTTCCTGCCCTAGTGACTTATGCAATCTCTGTCATTTCTTATGCAGCAAAATTATTACACAGAGGAAAAAAGAGAGGAGAAGAAAGGAAAAGCTTTTTGACTTTGCCAGTTGCAGGTTGAATGTCGTTTTCTGAGAAGTCAGTCAATTTGGGGTAGCTGCTCCGACTCATAATTTGGAATATTTAATAGTTTGGAAATCTCCGGGTTGTTTATTTTCACGAGAAGCTTACTTCTGTACTTCAGCAGCTTACCTCTTAAAAATGAAAACCTCAGATGTAAATTTCACTTCAAATTAACTGTGTAGTCATCTTCTCTGGAAGTAGAAAAGAGTTATTGTGAACTCAAAAGCACACTGTTTCTTTCTCCAGGAAGATGCTGTGGAAAGGAACGGTGTTTGTCTGAATCGTATTTTGGTTTAAAGGTCTAAATATGTTCTTAATTTAGATAAACATGATACCCGCCTCCACTTCCCACATGGCCCACAAGGAAGTTGTTTGGCTTGGCTTTGATGTTTCTCTGGGATGTTATAAGAGAGACAACTATGACCCAGAAAATTAGAGAGCAATATTTAATATTATAATGCCCAAATTGTATATGTGTCTTTAAATGAAAAGTCCTAAACTAGAAAGAGAAAGTACAAAATAAAAGTTGGGGACCTTGAAGTCCTTAGATTATGAAAGCTTTGAAGTCTGTGCCCTTTAGTAACTGGTGTTCTTAAGAATATATAATATCTTCTTTATCTGTCAGCAGATTGCTCACCCATACATGCTTTGCAGTTTTTCTTTAGGGTCCGATTTTTTTGAAGCAGGATCTCACTATATGTAGCCCAGGATGGCCTGGAACACTCAGCGATCTTCTTGCCTCAGCCTTCCAAATGCTGGGATTACAGGTGTACACTATCACGCCTGGCTAGAGTCTAATTATTAACCCATCGCTCCAAATTATTCTGAATAAGCTGGGCGTGGTGGCGCATGCCTGTAATCCCAGCACTCGGGAGGCTGAGGCAGGAGGATCATTGCTAGTTCAAGACCAGCCTGGGCTACAAAGTGACCTCAAGCCAGCCTGAACTGCATAAGGAGACCCTGTCTCAAAAAAGACAAAAAAGAAAAAAAAAGAAAGAAAACAAGGGCTGGGGATTTGGTTCAGCGGCAAAAGCACCTGCCCGGCAAGTGCAAGGTCGAGTTTGATTCCTGGTACCAGAAGAAAAACAAAAGCAAAAACAAAAAGCCAAAAAACCCAAATTATTCTAAATGAGAGGCCATTATTGCAAATCATGGTTTATTATTTTGATTAAAGGTTCTACCTAGTAGGGATATTTTGTTCCTTAAGTATGTCTTTTGTGGACCTTAGTTCTATTTAAAAAACACAGAGCCACCTAGTGACTCTTTGCATCTATTACAACATACATCCCAGTCCTGGGGATTTGTCCTTGTCTAGGGAATTGAAAGTTACATCTCTCTATTTTCAATCACACATTGATTATATAAATATAAAACTATTACCAGGTGTGGTGGTGCACACCTGTAATCCTAACACTTGGGAGGCTGAGGCAGGAAGATCACTGTGAGTTTGAGGCTAGCCTGGGCTACACAGGGAAAGCCTGTCTCCACGGCCAGGCTTGTTTACTGTCAAAATTCCTCCCTGCCCACTGCCAGCTTTCTGAGACCAGGGTCTTGCTGTGTAGTTCAGGCTGGCCTTGAACTAGTTAAAGCCTTTTTAAAAAAAAATATTAATAAATAAATAAATAAATATTAAAAGCACTTATACAGACTAAAAATTATGCCTAAAATGCAAGTTTCTTGTAATAATGTTGTTCAGTTGCCTTTTCACGTAATATATTCAAGGCAATTGATAATGTTTCCTGCCAGTGTAAAATAAGGCTAGGCTGTTTCGTATTGTCCTCACCAAAAAAAATAAAACATTTTGGAAAATTATTCAATTCAAATAAAAATATCTTATTTTCCGCTGCCACTTGGGAATATGATTGTTGCATCTTTGAAATGACTGAGCAATAGTTTTTCCTTCCAGGGAAGGAAAAAGGTCATTAAATTGGAAATAGCTTTCATGTTATTTCAATGCCTGCAAACTTAGGCTGCTTCACCTTGGTTCATCTACACAAACCCACAGGTGGGAAAAAAAAAACAAAAAACAAGCCCACAAGCAGACATCTGCCGATGTCCCTGTCTAGTTTTCTGCCTGCCACTGCAGTTAGTAAGTACACTTACTTCTTCATGGCAACCAGAGCTTTATTTTTCATTGTTTTCAACCTCTTGAACACCATAAGGTAAGTAAATATCAATTTTTTAAAAGTTTACGTTGAATTAATGAAGATCTTTACTTACTTGGAATATAAATAATAAGCCCATTCAGGGATGTATAAGCAGGAATACACAAAAAAATAGCAAAAACCCAAAATGAGAACTGAGAAATTTTTCTCAAAAAAAAGAGTAGCCGGGTGTGGTAGTGCACGCCTGTAATCCCAGCACTTAGGAGGTTTAAGCAGGAGGATAATCATGAATTCAAGGCCCACCTAGGCTATATAGCGAGTTCAAGGCCAGCCTGAACCCACTGAGACAGTGGAACCCTGTCTCAGAAAAATAAAACGGTGAGCCAGGTGTAGTGGTGCACACATGTAATCCCACCACTCAGGAGGCTGAGGCAGGAGGATTGTTGCAAGTTCGAGACCAACCTGAGCTACAAAGTGAGCTCAAGCCCAGCCTGAACTGCATAGTGAGACGCTGTCTCAAAAAGATGGAAAAAAAAAAGGTATTTTAAGATAAGTTTAGGAGCTATGGTGGCACAATCGGTTAGTACATGGTACTTGTACAGTGTAAGATGTGGTTTTGTTTACTTAAGATGGTAAGTTCCCAGCTGGGATTTGCTGGCTCGAAGAGCATGTAGAAAATGGGCCCTAAGCCATCATGACGCCTGTCTTCATAAGAAGAGACCGTTGCGCAGATGCGCACACATACAGAGGAAAGGCCACGCAGAGGCCCAGGAGGAAGCAAGCCCTCTGCAAAGCCAGGATTGAGGCCTGCAGAGGAAGCCAGCCTGTGGGGACCTTGATCTCAGACTCCTTGCCTCCAGAACTGTGAGGAAGTGAATTTCTATTCCCGAAGCCACCAAGGCTGGTTGCGATTTGGCAGCTTCACTGAGCATTATAGGTGGGTGTGGGTTCCCTCCCTTTCAAAAGGAAGTGCCAGGGCTGGGGATTTAGCTCAGCGGCAAAGCGCCTGCCTGGCAAGCGCAAGGTCGTGAGTTCAGTTCCTGGTACCAGAGAAAAAAACAAAACAAAAAAAACAAAAGGAAGTGCCAGGTGGGTGTGATGGCACACATGGGTAATCTTGGTATGTGGGAGGCTGAGGCAGAAGGATTACAAGTTCGAAGCCAGCCTGGTGCTGGTGACTCCAATCCAGACCTGAGCTCTTGGCCCCGAATTCAGCAGTTATGGGACATTTCCACTTTGTGTGATCCAGATTCTCTTAGAACCTGCTTCCCCTTGTGTTCCAGCCTCTCTGCTGAATCACCTTACTGACCCAGGCATTGAAGCCAGAAGCTAGAGGTTCTTTAATATCAACATTCAATCGGGGCTGGGGATTTTGCTCAGCAGCACAGCGCCTGCCTGGCAAGCACAAGGTTGTGAGTTTGATTCCTGGTACCGGAAAAAAAAAAATCATTCCGTGACAGCGCTCTGCTCTCATGGTCCGATGGTGATGTGGCAGTTCGGAGCACTGTGGTGTCACCTGGGTTGCAATGGTCAGCCACCCACTGACCTTGCCTCCTCATGCGCTTTCCTCTCCTTCTGCCCCCTCAAAATGACCTCCCCAAACCCCAAATCTAATCATAGCAAGCCCTGGCTTTTAACTTCATTTTTAAAGCTGGGCATGGTGGCACATGCCTGTAATCCCAGCACTCGGGAGGCTGAGGCAGGAGGATCCTTGTGAGTTCGAGACCAGCCTGGGCTACAAACAGAGTGCAAGGCCAGCCTGAACTGTATATCAAGAGCCTGTCTCAAAAAGACAAAAAAAAAAACCCTTCATTTTTAAGTGAAAATACAATGAAAGTTTATTATACTAAAGCATGTGTGGAGGCTTGTAGGGCTGGGGGTATAGCTCTCTGGTAGAATACTTGTGTAGTACACATACGGCTTTGGGTTCAATCTCTAGTATGGGGGGGGGAGTCATCTGAAGTCATCACTGGACTCTCTTGTGGATTTAGGGAAATGTAATCCAAGATAATATCCAGCATAGACTAGAGAAAGTGTTCTCTGAGTACTGTTACTAGACAAAGCTTACCAACCCTGTCAAGTATTTCTACATGCCTTGAAAAATACTTGCAGCAAGTATTTCTGGTGAGTTTGTAGCCACGTTCATTTATGAATTCAAGAGTGACTTACAGCCAGGCATGTTAGTATCTTCCTGTTGTCTCAGCACTTGGGAGGCTGAGGCAGGTAGACTGACTTTGAGCCTAACCTGAGCAAATTAGTAAGAGCTGGTCTCAGGAAAAAAGAAAAGAGGAACTATTTATTGAGCACACCAGCCCTGGCCAGTGGCTCCCAGGCGTGGGTGATAAACGATCAATACCTCCCGCGCCCCCCAGCTTCTGCTGTGGAGAAGCGGCTTGCTCCTTAAGACCCCAGGGCCTACGCCAACGCAGCTTTTCAACCCAAGGTCACTTTCTGTGCCTTGGAAACTGAAAGCAAGCAGCTTGTCTTTCCAGGGTAAACCAGGCTTTCCCATGAGCAAAACTTATCTAAGATATGCTAATTTGCAAATCCCCACACTGTCATGCACCTGATCTCTGTGAAGATACAGGGTGTCTTCTAGAAAGACTTAATTCTTCTTCTATCTCAAAAAAAGGCAGGTGTAGAACTTGAATATGAAGTGGTCAGGCTGCCTGACTAGGACGAGGGAAAAGTGGAGACGTGACTAATGCTTCAAATAAGTGACACTGCAGTAACCTCCTGGGATCTTCAAGGTTAACGGCTGCGGCCTGGGGTCGGACTTAGCCCTTCAGACTCTTGCTTCCCCCTGAGCCTGCGTTTCCCCAGTGCCTGGATCCCAGATACCGTCTCTGGTGGCTGTGGGTGAACCAGTGTCTTCAAAGCCGGCTTTTCTCCTGCAGAGGGAGGAGCTGGCAGGTCAGACAGAACCATGGTCTTCACCCAGCCTGTGTCCAGCAAGCACACTGAGTCCCTGATCTTAGCTCCAGAGGCCTCTGTGGTCTGTGGCCTGCTGGCCTCATTGGACAGTCTTCGTGTATCTGATGTGTTGCTAACTTACCGCATTGCTTCTTCACCAACCCCAACTGAACCCAGATTTTTTTCTGGTTTTTTTTTTTTCTTTTTTTGAGACAAGGTCTCACTATGTAGTTCAGCCTGGCCTGAACTTCTCAGCAATCCTCCTGCCTCAGCCTCCCAAGTGCTGGGACCAACACCCCTGGCACCAGATTCATTTTTCTCACTGCAGTTCTCATCCCATCGCCCTTTGCTGACCTTCTATTTCTTGAGGTCAGCAGCTGCCTCTCCTTGGATAGGCAGCCATGGCTGTCGTGACATGGGCTGTGATTCTGCTGCTGCTGGGCTTGACACTGCGGCCCTTGCAACTGCAGACCGGTGGATTGGCCCCACCTCACCAGCGCTGAGGTTGGAGAGTTGGCCTGACCATTGTGTTTCCCAGTCCTGCCGTGGAGTCACTCGAGGAGCCTGTTAAAACGGAGATGCTAACTGGCTGGAGGCTGAGGCAGGCAGTTGGAGAGTTTGAGGCAGTTACGTAGTACTATAGCGAGTTCAAAGCCAACATGGTTTGCCTGAGTTACACAATGTGACCCTGTCTCCAGAAATAATAATTTTTAAAAAAAACAGATTGCTTGGCCCCGCCTAAAACTTCCAGGCATGAGAGCCTGAATCTCTAGGGTGGGATGCCTTGCAGGCCATACACTTTTTGGGGTGCTGAGGACGAAACCTGCTAATGCTAAGCCCTTGTTCCAGCCCTGAGCTTCACCCCAGCCTCTGTTTTATTTTGTTCTGTTGAGACAGGGTCTTGCTATGAAGTTCAGTCTGGCCTTCAACTCACTGTGGAGCCCGGACTGGACTCAGATTCATGGTGATCCTCCTGCCTCAGATTCCCAAGTGCAGGGATCACAGGCATGTGCCACCACACCCTGCAACAGCCTCTGTACTTTTTACCTCTATTGTCCCCTACTCCACCTGTCTGATCCTGTTGAGTTGCAAGTGTAATCATCTATTGGAGGCTTTAAAAATGAAGAGAGCCGGCTGTGGTGGCACACGCCTGTAATCCCAGCACTCGGGAGGCTGAGGCAGGAGGATCACTGTGAGTTCAAGACCAGCCTGGGCTACAAAGTGAGCTTAAGGCCAGCCTGAACTGCCTGTCAAGACCCTGTCTGAAAAAGACCAAAAAAAAAAAAAAAAAAAAAAAGATGAAGATGGAATGAACATTGAACAATTAATTGGGTTGGAAGTAGGGTCTATGGGAGTTGTAGGAATATTTTCCTTTAAGATACTGACAATTTTCTTATCAGTTTCTAAGAGCTGCATATATATTTTGGAAGATTGAGCTTTTTGTCTTCTTTAAGTTATACTTTTTCCTCTGATACTCTGGACTTTGTTTAAGGTGATTTTGCCATGCAGATTTTTTTCTTTTTTTTTTTTTTTTTTTTTTTTTTTT